GTTTTCAGTTCTGACTGGAGAAGGAGACTCGTAGGACTGCGTCAGGGGCTTTTATTTATTCATGTATCTAGAGAAAATTTGGTTAGTGATAATTGAAATATGTGTGATTCATTAAAATTTCGTCCGATTTGTTGATTGTTGATTTTCCTAACGAACGTTTAATCGATGCCGCCGACGATTTGTCTGGCTTGGGCGTCCTTATGTCTACCTCTCTGGGGACATCCGTCTGTTTTTTTTGAAGTTGTTCTATGTGTGCTTGTTGGAGCGTCTGCTGCGTGTCTCTGAACGGATTGACCAATGGCGGTGGCGGTCTGTGATTGTCTTCTGGATGGGACTTCCTGATTGGTGGGCGGGTCTTAGTCGTTTCGATATCCGTAACACTACTTCCGTTGCATTTGTTTACTTTTGGCAGTGACCCTATATCTGTGCGACCTAGGACGCAGTCCTACGTCAAAATGTCCCCTGCCTCGATACCAGCTCGACGGAATCCTCATACGACGAGATGCACAGAGCTTTCAGTTCGTACAGGTCCCCTCGCAAGAACAGATAGTGCGTGCAAATACGTTGCCAGCCAGCAGTGCAAATAAAGTACGTGCATTAAGGAGGGCTATAAAAGCCACGGAACGTCAACAGCCCGTATAGCCGGGTCTTTGCTGAAGATATTGTCTCTCGGGTTTTCGCGGGGTTCACCTGGGTCTGTTCAGCATATGCAAATGGAGAATTCCGGGGAATGGAGAAAGGGGTCCATTATCCGAAAACGGTACGGAGCTGCCATTTCTTTGGGTTATGAAATCGTTGTCTCCTCTCGCATCGGATAACGACCACCATCATCGAATGAGGAGGATTAGAGCTCGGATTCTCTTGAAGCGAGGAATAAGAAAGCGGATTATCTGTCCCTTGTAGGTGGCGTCTCGCTCGACCTCATATGAACTCACCGAGTCCGGTCCTCCGAACCGTCCTTAGGTACTCGTAAGTCTTGATCCCGCCCGAACTTCCGAGAATAAGAATGCGATTCGACTCCGAAATAGCATACCGCTCCGGTTTATTTCTAGAGACTTCGAGAATATTGGCGAACGAGAGATAATGGCGTCTTGCCTCGGGCCTATCCGGTCGTGCTTCTTACCCGCTCGAGGCGGGGGCGGTCTCTTCTCAACAACAATATCCCGAACGATTGTCGACTTTGGCTCTGTAGAGAGAATGCAGACGAGCTGTGGGATTCCGGATGGCGAAGAATGGAGATTTTTGTGGAAATTCGCCTCCCTCTGGCTCGCAGCAGTTTTTCTCGGGCGTCGCCGCCAGACTTCTAGCTATGGCTTGTTAGATCCAACGAGCGCCTGCGCCCACTCACGTCCTTATATATCACCCTCGAATCCGAAAGTCTTCTGCATAGAAACACTTTTCGTAAGAACGCAAGGCAAACGCTCTGAGTGAGTGGTCGCTGCCCCACCAAGAAGGAATATACAGTGGTGGTCAAAATATTACGAACGGCAGCTGGAAGTACCGAAGAGGGTGCCCTTCTCAAGATTTTGGCCAACACTGCATATATCGGGAGACCTAATTTGCGCATCGCAGCTGCCCCGGCGCGCCTCGCGCCAGATTCCTCATTCCATCGATTTCCTTGCTGTATCCCTCGGATCCGAATGAAGTCCGCATCTCCGCAGGTCTCGCGAGTTTCCCCCGGCGCACTTTTCGCAATTCCCGTGTGCTCATCGCACGCATCTGCTCCGTCGAGCTCTCGGATGACGAACTTAATCCGGCCATGCGACTTCGCTCTGAATCGAGGGGAGCCCCTCGGATGTACTGTCATCGTTTCGCGGGTACGAAGAAAAGTTCTCCGTCGGTGACGAGGCGACGTCACAGGAGGGAGATTAGTTGTCTGAGAATACCGACACTAGTAGTGGAATAGAATGAAGATCGTTCGAGGCCGCTATGGGATAGGATTATCCTGCGGTGATCAGTCCGGGATTTTGCCGGCTCCATCACGGAATTTCGGCTCCAGGTTAGCGTAGTTCTGCGCGACACAACTCTTCCTACCCTGAGCTCCCGGAGCATCCGACACAGGAAGGATCTGCTGGACAAGGAGAAAAGTGAAATCGTCTCCATACATCATAGAAGCCTCAAACCCATGGGGGGCCCGTATCCTATCCTGATCGGAAGTCTTTCAAATATCGTCTTCGTATCTGCAATATGCATTCGAACAATCAAAATATTCCTGTCCCGTACACTTCCTTGTGTCCTTGTGGTTGTTCTGGGAGTGTTCCGCATGCAGTTTCGCGACGAATTTACCGAATGTGATGGAGCGGACGGATAGACGTGAACCCCAAATTAAAGTCTCCAGCTTTCCAGCCGAGCTTCCCGTGCTGTATTCATTTCGCTCATTAGCGCTGAGGAACTCGAGTTCGAATGTGCTCACTGAGCAAGCCCCGGGACTATCGCTGGAGCCTAGAGTGAATTCTGCGCGATCACCGATAAAAAAACACCATTGAGAAGAGCATGTAAGCTATCAATGAATAGGTCTGTCAACATGAAAGAACACGGTGGACAACTCGCTCCCCACTCCGTCGTCGTGAGGGCGGGGAGAGAGGGGGCGAGAAACATACTCCACTGAGAGACGCAGTCGTCGAGTGAGATAGAGGAGATAACGAACTCTTGTAGTCAATGATCATCGGGAGACGGAACGACGATGACGGAAGATTGTGTGATACCTACTCATATTATTCTGCGGAGTCTTGGCGTCACTGTCTGAAGGACACAGTCTGCTTCGGCTACGACGAGTCTGCCAAGGACTCTCGAGTCAGAAGAATGATTCTGCGAATGCCTTTTGAAGGCTCTCTAGGGGCTCAAAGAAGTCCAACACGTCGACTAGCGATTTTTCCCGATGTCAACAACAGCTGGGGACGAATGGCTCTTTAATGGAAGTTTCGCTCGCGCGTACTCACCGGCGCGGTCTAGTTCCCCAGAAGCGAATAGCCTTTGAAGCAAAACTTGTTGACATCGGTGCGAAGATTCCCTTGCACATAAGCTGAAAAAGATCCACAAGGAGCGTGGTTCCGATGCTGCAACCCGAGAAGTCAGCTCGCGTCAATTTATAGCGATGCGTGCGTTTCTTGGAGGGATTCGATACCGGTTCCGGCTCCATCAGGCCCTCCAGACGCGAAAGCGATTAGGGCAAATGATGACGTCTCGCCGTCGAGGGAGGCGATGGGGCGAACTCAATGGGCTCTCGCTCTTGACAGAGCCTGATGTATGAATGAGGAAATGGGAAATCAGTCTGATCCGGAGCTCTAGCTGGGAGCTCAGACCACGTAATTTCCCCTCATCTGAGTTGAGTCTTCGGGCCCCGGGAAGAAGTCGTACACGGAGGGCTCTGCGAGGCAGATCGAGTTACGAAATGTTTTTTTCGCTCGTTTTCAGGGCTTTGGTCATTGTCGATGCCGATTCTATTTATTCGAATCGCAACAACATCGATGGCGCTGCCGACAGAAACGACACGTCAAACCCTGCATTGGAGCGTCGGCGTCGTCGCGGGCCCGAATGCAAGGGATGGAACGCCGGGACTCAATCGAAAGGGACGCTGGAGCTCGAAATGGATCGTGAACTTCTGCATGAGCATCTGAGGCTTGTGCGTTCGTCCAGTTATCGCATTGAACATCTCAAAATGCAAAATTTCGCGTAGTCTCCAATTGTGCTGAGTCCTCATGAGAGACAGACACTCGATCTGCCGACATCATCTTGAGCATGGAAACTTAAGGGATGCGTAATTAGAGATCTCTGTTTGTTGATTTCCGTCGAGCTCGAGCCTCCGAGAGACAATGCGCGGCCTTGAACGAGACCTAGTTTTCTGTTATTACAAAAGCTTTACGCACGGAAGCATTCCATTCGCTCGGGCTGATTGCTGTCGACTTGTTTTCCTTCCTCAATAATGAGCACGACGACTTTTCTGCATTTTCTGTTTTCACCGCGCTAGAATTACTTAGCAAAATCATTTCTTTCCCTGAAGCATCTTCCCTGTCGCAGAAACTTGCTTGGCTCGCTAGTATCCTCCGTGATGAGATGGTTAATCTCTATTCCTCTCCGGACTCAACGACGTTGACTGATTCTCAATTGGAATTTGAGGAGCGGGCTCCAGGCACCTCTTAGTTGGGACTTCGTCTCGAAATCCTCTCCTCAGCAGTTCTTGCCCTTGCGCCCAGCCACCCCGAGCGCTGGTCATTTCCACAACTTTGTCATGACTGCCTCTGTTACCTGCACACAACAAATCCTAGCGAAGCTGTTCGTAAGACTTCAAGACGCAATCCCCATGAGTCGATCCGGCTTTTGTCGAGCCAATGTCATTATTTTCCTTAGTCTCAACTTATTCTGCCGCTGAGACTCTGATGTATTTTTTCCCGTCCCTCAGTCCACCCATGCAACGAGAAAATGGAGAAAGCGAGCGGTGGACAGGTATGATCGGAGAAGACCAGTTTTCAGAGCGCGCGGGCCCTCTCGAATGCAGATAAGCAAGAGTGATTCTTTCTTTCATAGCGCGTTTTTCCCGTGGCAGACGGCGGCGCTATGATAATCGAGCTGATCGCTTCTCTCTGATTGAGAATATAGAATGCGCTGCTCCACCCAGAAGCGAAGACTGGACCCCTGCGATCACCCTAAAATTATTCTCCGAATATGGGTCTTTGTCATTCTAGAGCAGAATACTTGAGTATCCATCGGTTGAGAATCTTTAGGGGTCCGAAAGAGACGACGCTAGTACCCTGTGAATACGATAGTATGCTTTCCTTGGAAAGGATTAAGATCCGAGAAGATAACTCGCATCAGCTTCGGAGAACCATCGATATTCTCGCATGATCGTATCGGATACGTCCCCTCAGTCACGGGCAGCCTCAAGACACCCACGTTCGCGTCACCAGAGCTCCGTTTCCAACTTTGCGAGGGCGAGCCAAGTATCGATGCTCGGAAACAATCATTCTAAAACGAATAAAGCATGAAGACTCTTGCGAAGAGCGTTCCTCAATTTTAAAATCTTTCTTTATTTACAGAAATATTCCTAGTGAACGAGTCGCTCAATTGAAGTGTTTTTGCACTTCCTCATTGCAAACACTTCGATTACCGTAATCGTTTTTGTGTGTATCCCACGACTACCGAGAACTAGCAATAAAGCACCATTAGAGATTAGGTAGGCGGAAGTACGGCCCGTGATTGACGGAGTCGATTCAGGAGCCTCGTCGGGAAGCTATAAGGCCGATGGCAATGAATACCCAGAACACTGCCATACTCGGTTGAGTCCAGACCGCCGTATTGCACCCCTCTGTATGACATTCACAGTTCGTCGCTTTGAGATGTGGGTCAGCTGCAATGAGACAAAAGTAGAAATTATTCATAGCGATCGCTGATGGTTTTATAAGTTTGGTCGCGATCCGCGCCTTGGCTCCTCCGCCAGACAGAACCTCTATCCTGACGATCTGATCACATTCGAAGGGTCGATTGTCGCGCCTAGCCTATCGAATGCGAAAACCCGGCCTGGGGAATCTTGTCGATATCCGGCGGAGGCGGAGCCGAGCAACAGCTCCTCGAAAGGTGCCCCGAGAGCCTCTTGAGCTCACTGGACGGATTATCGATTCGACAGACGGACGAACCGACGGGCGACACCACATCGTGAGCACCTACTTAGAGGGGCTAGACGGATGAGCAATAAGAACTGAGTCCCTACAAGTGAGGTAGAATCGAACGCTCGATGAACCGGAGCGAGTTCAGATCTCGCCAAGATCGACGATCCGCTCCATGGCTTTCGCTCATCGGAGGAGAGATTAATAGTCTCAGAGATTACAACGTCGTTGGCCTCTGTGTACAGTGGTACAACGGACGAGAACGGCTGTATTGATCGGAATGACCTCTGGTTGGTCAGAGGACGCAGATCTACGTGTTTCCTCTCCGTGGCAAACACGTTTTCTTGCCTTCAGCCCGAATTGACGTCAGACGAGAGGACCGAACCGAATTGAAAACTCAGACGGAACGGCTGATTCTCCCAGCGTAGCGGAGCGCTCCAGAACAAGACAGCGGGAAGTCATTCAAGGGCGAACTGGTTAGACGATCTGACCGAGTACTTACGCGTGAGGATGCAAGTTTCCCGATTTTCGTTGTGTTTCTTCCATCCGCAACGACGATCGTAAGCTGGTCCGTGGGTTGGGCTTTGCATTACTTGTAAGCGGCACACTTTGAAACTCTCCCCGTTCTCGTTATTCTCGTAGTGAAGATCGTCGCAATTCTTCAGATGCCTCTCGCTCGGAGGCGATCCACAATCGGTGTCGTTCTTCGAGTTGCAAACATAGCATTGGAGGGCAAAACTCGACGAAACGGTGAAGCCGAGCACGACCACAGCGCCCAAGATGGAAGCGTGGTTCATTTTTTTTCTACTTCGGCAAAGGATCCGATTGTCCTAACGACCGTTCTCTTGAAACGTCCTTGGTCTTTGCGCGGACGCCTCCAGTCTCTGCAGCCAGCCGGCCCTCTCTTGTCTTCTGGACGAGCGGACGGTGGCGACGACGACGCTCCAACAGAAAGTCAATTGTGCCACTCAGTCAACGGCCCATCGGTGGAACACTGATGGGTCGTCTCCAACAGAGCAGAGTGGTGAGTGTCCATCATATAGAGGAAAGGAGGAAAACGCATGTTCTGGACGCGTTACATTCAGCTGCAAGCCAAAAACGGCATCCGAAGCCCTCGGCACGGTCGGAGATCGCGCGCCGTCGGAAAAAATCGATCGATCCTATACTTTCCGGTTCTAGCCTCATTTTCCTGTGAAACCCCCATCGTAGATTTTGACTCTGGAGCAGCCGGACAAGCATGGAATGGAGTCAGCCATATATTCGAGATAAGGGCATCTCTAGAAAAATTGGCTCATGCCCTTTTGATGTGGGGGAATGCTTCCGGAGGCACACTGTGGAGCCGACTCGTTAGCGGCGCCTTTACTCTGGGATTCGTGTTTGGACGCACGGGATAGGATGCCACTTTACTACTCGAAGAAAACATCCTCTCATGTTATACACAGCAACGATGCCGCGACTGCCCACTAACGAAGCCGGATACTCTCCCTCGTATCGACAATGGCTCCTGTGACGCTCCATCGGACGGACGGACGGACAGACTTATGGTCGCTCGCTCGGTCAGATCTGTGATTCTGGCAGCGATATAATAAGGACACAGATCGAGCTCAGCATGGGCTTCAAGGGTAATACGCTTCAGCGTGGCCCAGTATCGCTAGTGTGTCTGGATCTGCTCCGACCTGCGTGACGGACACCTTCTGAGATAATAATCTTGGGTATGCGATCCCAGAGTTGATCCTCTTTCGAAGCTCAGCCGCGAAGTTTGCGCGGGGTCTTATTTTCTTTCTTTCTTCAACCTCCGTTTTGCAGATAACTTTCCTCGAGCGCAAAAGATGAATGGGAAGCAATCGTAATCTGGAAGCGGGTGCAGTGATTCAAGAAAAGTTGTGGGCAATCCACGATGACCCTTTGTGAGCTGTTTCGGTGCTCCTGCGATATCGTTCTATGGCCCTCAATCGACACTATCTGTGAGAGATAGGAAGGATCCAAAAAAAGCTCCTCCTCCTCTTCAAAGCTCACGTTTGCATCGTGCTCGAAACGCTCTCTTGTTGTAAGTCGGCGACAACAGATAAGAAGAAAACTAATGACTTTCTTTTCCTTCGCCTGACAAATTATCAGAGAATTTATCGGGGCCCGCTCCTCAGAACCTCGTCGCAGTCTCGATCAGAACAAAACTTCGAGAGAAAATCCTGTTCGGTCGGTCCGAGAAACTTGATGATCCGTCTTCGGATACAATTCCATTCGGAGAGTTTCGATACAATTACGCGAGCTCCTCCGGAAGCGAACCCCGCTGATGACGGGGGACTGGCAGCCGGTAGACCGAATTCGAAAAGTGTCTCGCTTCTGTTCGGATAGCAGAAATCATGACAATCATGACGCAATACCGCGTCGAGCGTTGAGCACACCTATTCAATTATCAACCCCTCCCAGGGGACATCCAGCTCACGTCATGTTCTGATACAGCTCGGTCCACGAGTTCCCTTCGACCGGAAAATTTGCATGGACAACAATGAGAAATTCTGCAGATCCCAAAGCGGGACGGGGCAGTACGAATCGATGACTTCCTCCTTGTGGAGTCTCCGGGATCTTCATTGGGCGAATGACACACGGTACATTGGATGGGTGCCCTGACGTGTCACATCCGTCCCATCAGCGTTGAATCGCTCTCTCATTCATGGTCGTCGCTCAATTGGATAAGATGCCGGCAGAGATTTCGACGGGATCAAAGCTCAGAGAGCATACTGGTCCATCCTGTACTTCTCGAAAATCGGGCAGATCGCGGCAGGCAGCTGAGGAATGAGAATCTTCGCAGCACTCCTTTCTGGATAATTCGTCTACGGGATCGATTGAGCCTGAGTGGTCGAAAATCGACTGCTCGGTTCAGCTCTCGAAATGAAAAGGTAGGCATATCGAGCCACTGCGCTCGTGAGGCTAGACTGCCTATGAAGAGAAGGGAATGATCTGAATCCCTGGAAACGGGTTCCCGATTTGAGGTATGTTCTCCACATATACGGCGGCTATCACACAGCTCGACAAAAAAAAACTTTTTTCGCGTTACAAAGAAAGTGAAAGCTATTTCGGGGTAAACCGGGGGCGCTGAATCCGAATTTCTTAACAGATTTTCTCCATCAGGTCCAGTTTTTCCGAAATTTCACTTTTTCGATTTTTTGCCATTTTTCGTCTTTAAAAAATTCTAGCTCCGCCCCTGAGTGGACTAGATCGATGAAACTTTGGTGGCGGATAGAGCTCGGTTGGGGCTATACCTGGCCGAGTTTTGGTGCGATTCGTAGCAGTGGTCTCTGAGCTAGAGCCATCGGAAACCAAAAAAAGAAGAAAAAAGTGGGAGAGGGACCTCTTAGAAAGCACTTGACGGAAAAACTAGGACCTTTGAAGCGGTCTGACCTAGACAATTCGATAGAGGAGGCTTTTACGAGCATTTTGAGACCAAGCAGAGCAAAATCGGTCGATCCATTCAGTTTTTATTCGCAAAAAACATTGAAAATTTGAAAACGCCTAAAAGTCGGAATTCGTCTGTTCCGGCTTTTAAGCAGAAGCTTCGACGGTTGGGCCGTTGGAATCTTCCGTAAAATCAGCGAGGTCGATCAATCCGCATCAAATCGAGCCGTCAGCGATTGTCTGGAATGTGGTCGATCAGGGGCTTCCCTCATGAGGTTCCAGCAATAGTCTGCCATCATAGACTCATCCCACCTCCCTTGGTATCGCTCCTCCATGGTGCTGATGTCTTGATGGAACCTTTCGCCTTGCTCGTCGCTCATTGACCCTAAATTCTCAGGGAATAGATCAAGGTGGGCGTGGAGATAATGAACCTTGATACTCATTCTACATCCGAGAATGCGGAAGCTTTCTACAAGTCTCTGCACCAACTCCACGTAGTTGGAAGCTCTCGTGTTCCCCAAGAAGTTCGTGGCGACTGAGACGAAGGATTCCCAGGCGGCGGCTTCCTCCGGGTTGATCGATTCGATGAAGTTTGGGTCCTTCATGAGTCGCCGGATCTGCGGCCCGTTGAGCACTCCCGCTAGCAGTTTCTGTCTGCTCACGGGACGGAGCTTCTGGGCTATGTATTCGAAGCTTAAAAGTCGGCACAGACGAATTCCGACTTTAAGGCGTTTTGAAATTTTCAATGTTTTTGCGAATAAAAACTGAACGGATCGACCGATTTTGCTCTGCTTGGTCTCAAAATGCTCGTCAAAGCCTCCTCGATCGAATTGTCGAGGTCAGACCGCTTCAAAGGTCCTAGTTTTTCCGTCAAGTGCGTTTTAAGAGGTCCCTCTCCCACTCTTTTCTTCTTTTTTTAGTTTCCGATGGCTCTAGCTCAGAGACCACTGCGACGAATTGCACCAAAACTCGGCCAGGTGTAGCCCCAACCGAGGTCTATCCGCCACCAAAGTTTCATCGATCTAGTCCACTCAGGGGCGGAGCTAGAATTTTTTGAAGACGAAAAATGGCAAAAAATCGAAAAATTGAAATTTCGGAAAAACTAGACCTGATGGAGAAAAACTGTTATGAAATTCGGATTCAGCGCCCCCGGTTTACCCCGAAATAGCTATCACTTTCTTTGTAACGATTTGGCTGTCGAGCTGTGTCATCGACGGTTCGGCTTTTATCTACAAGTAATCACACCCTCCTTTATTCTTACACATCAACCACAACCACCATCAGATGATCGGCTCCGGCATCCTCCCTAAGCACGGGGCACTTCGTGATGTCATCGCATGATATCTGTACACAAGTCGCATCTCATGCTTGATGCGAACAATCCGTTGACCTACGTATATATACGGCGCCGACTAGAAAATGAGATCGAGTTCGGGCTCTTCGCCGGTATCTGTTCATCCCGTCGATCTCCTCGGAGCGTAAAACTTCTCCAAAAGAGGATACAACCTCTCTCCTCGCTGTCATTTCAGGAGATTTGATTATTTGTCTCGCAGCCTACCTAATTGGCTAATTCGCGAGCTCCAGCTACCGACGCGGTCGTTGATAGGGTTTCTGGGTTCTCGACTGCTTTTTATGATCATCCGACTTGAGCCGAAGAACCGAATTGAGGACCTTGACCGAGCAGCTCGTCGAGGCGCTCAAAACCTCATCCAGGTCGGCATCTGATTTCCTCTCCATAGCTCGCAGTTTGGCTTCGATCGCTTGAATCTGTGAATTGACGTCCTTATTGACAGCTGCTACCGGGGTAACCTCTTTCTTCGCCTTCTGTTCCGGTTGCGGCATCTCTTGAGCAAAACTCACGGAAAGACGCCTGCCTTGTAGTTGCAATCCATTCAAGGATCGAATCGCCTGTAACAATGGGATAACGACATCAGCGGTCTCTCGAGATGCGGCGAGGCGAGCCTACCTTCGAAATATGCAGAAAGCTGATACTCCAACTTGAGTCAGGGTCACTCAATTTCTTAATTTCTTAATCCAATCTCTTACCGTCTCAGCTTGCTCCTCATTCTCATATGTGATGAAGGCGAAACCTCGAGGAAGTCCTTTCTGAGGACCTGTCTTGTTGATGAGGAAATCGAAATCCACGACTTTGCCATGTTTCGAGAAAATCTTCAACAGAGTACATTCTGTGACCCGCTTCTCGATGTTGCCGATCCAAACTCGGCGAAGATCTCGTTTGGGCCCTGCGGAGGGAGCTGGCGCCAACGGCAGAGGTGTCGAGAATTCCTGCAAAGCTTTCGATTACCGATCTGAAGTAGTGCATATCGTGGAGTCAAGCGGCGTCATCTGGGTATCCACCTACCATTCTCGGCTGGATGCCTTAAAACATCGTATTTCGATTTCCGATGCTCCGACGTCCGAAGACGTTCTATTCTCGAGCAGCGCAATGGATCAACAAACAGAGGAGGCCGCCATGTTGGATTCGATAGAAGGGAAGCTCGGTATGCCAAAGATCGCACCTCGAAGCTCTGACACTGTCTTCCGGACTACCGGACGAAATGTTCCTAAGACTAGGACAGGAACTAGACGATGTCATCAATTGGAGAGAGCTTCGGGCTTATCACCTTCCATCCAGTCGAGAATACTACCACAGGCCACCCGTGAGAGCCCCCCATCTGTTGATTGAAACTTCGAAAGCGAGTTGACGCTTGTCAGCTGATCGAGTGAGAGGATAGTCGCGGAAAAGCCTCGTTCGATTTTATTGGATCTTGGTGTCAGTGCGAGCGAATGTGAATTCACTCAGAGGGAAGATGCCGCGATGAGCCCGGTAAAACCACCGGCGAAACGATTCAAACAGAGTTCCATCGCCGAATTTTTCTCCGCTCCGAGGGAACCCCGGCTCGGAGAAGTGGGGCTCATGAGAGTACAGACACTGGACGGGAATCAGGATTCAGGAGCGGGAAACAGAATAGTCCGTTCCCAAGCTGATACCTCAGAAGCCGGCTCGGAAGCGATGAACGGACAGTCCAACGTTCGAACAGCCTCGTCTCCGAGCCGAGCAACAATTTCGATCTGTGGGCAGACAGGAGGAAAACCTGATGAAGAGCGGGAAGCATCTCCAGAGCTCAGACGCGATACGTCCAACTCGACAGATGGTGAGGACTCGCACGTCAATGACGAGGACTCGCCGAGCTCCAGCTCGAACCACCTTGCGGCGCCCGGAGATACGAAGAAGAATGTCAGAAATCCGGAGACGTTCTACTCGAAGACTGGGGGAAATACTCCTCCCGAGACCATGTGCGGACCTCGCGATGCCGCAGATGCTCATAGTGAAGTCCAAGCCGACTCAAGCGTGAGTTATTCAAATTATTGTCTCCCACAGACGCTCGGCTGGAGATTTGTGTTGCGAAGCGGGAAGGGTGAAAAGAGATGTCAGAAACGAAGGAATCTCCGAATCCGCTAAGGGTCTGAGAAATTCTAATTTCTGTCACACACTCAGATCATGACCCACTAAACCTAACAGGGTCACGCTTCAGGAATCTCAGTGCGAAATTCGAATTTTGCCCCTCGACCTCGACCAAGGAGTGGGCTCAATGCCCGAAGATTTGACTCGTTTTCCTCGCGATATCAGCTGGCGTCCCGGGGATTTGGAGGACTCTGCCGAGCACACGGTTCTCATAAAGGTCAGCGAAATTCCCTTGTAGAAAGGACACTCGGCCGAAAGGCATGGCGCAGGTTCGACAGCTACCTGTTCCATCAAAGGCATATGCCCCGGTCGCGATCTCGCAGTATTCGGAACGATCGGGTCCAAGCCTGCGCGCTCCCTTCATCAGAGAGACATTGGAATGAGAGATAAAGGAGTTCACCACCCCAATACCGCAGAGTTAGCCCGTTGGGATGTCTGATGATCCGACTCCATCGGTTTTCAGACACCGTACGTACCAGGGAACGATGTTCCGAAATCCTCCCCTCCGGAATGCAGCGATATCTGGGACCAACACCATGTGAAAATGCCTTATTCACCTCGTTCGCTGTATATGGATTCCGATGGTACCCAAATCTCTCGCTGGAAGCTGATTGAGAGAAGTTTGCTCGCTCCGATAAACTCATTCCACGATCTGAGGGTCAGTATTCGAATACGTGGAAGTCGGATTTTCTCTCGATATTCGAACCTCATCTTGCGATCGAGCTCTCTCCGTCACAGCCGTGGTAACTATCAGCATTCCATGTTCCAGGGAGCAATCCTAGATTATAATGGTGGTTTCTCCTGGGATATGGAAGAGCTTGAAGATTTCTTGGAAGAGATGACGCGGGATGAGAGAGCCTCATTCTTCGAGAACCTCCTGCCGTCCATAATCAAGCTGGCTCTTCGAATGCCGGATATATGCACAAGACCGCTGCCCCTGCTGACCAAAGGTGTGAGTTTTAACTTTTTTATTTTTTCACCGAAGGTCTCAGAGCTCTCTTCGGATCGTGATACACAGATATCACGCTAAGTACAATAGAAACGAATGGTGCCGCTACTCGAGGAATAATTCGCTCTCGTTCACAGGACGCTCACACAGTATAACGATGTCCCAAAAGCAGGCGTCCTGCCTTCTGGCCAATGCGTTCCTTTCAACGTTTCCGCGGAGGAATACCACGAAGCCCGACACTCAATTCTATAATTACCCGAGCATAAACTTCCACACCCTATTCAATCGCTGTTTTCGAGAAAAAAGAAGAAGTTGCCGGAAGGAGAAGATCAGATGCCTGTTGAACTATTTCCGACGAGTGACGGAGAAAGGTCTGTCGAACAAAAATCTCGATCAGTGAATCGTAATCGAAATTTCTGGTGATCAGCTCGTCGGAGTTTGCTCAATCACGATTGGAACTCCATCAGATAGTGGTGAAGGAATTCATCCGGGAAAGTATTCATGGAACGCATTGGTCATTTTTGCAGTGCCGGTCGGTAATATAACCTTCACTCGGGTGAGACTCCGCTGCAGTCTAGGCTGGGAAAGTAGTCAGGCCCGACTCCAGCAGGCCTTCGTAACTTCAGAGGGTTTGATCGAGGACCAAGGATATGGAATGTTGATGGTGAGTAGGACAACTCTGATTCCCTCGGACGTGAGAAGCTCGCTCGTTCAATTAAGAATGACCCGCGGAAGGAAGCTCCAGGATAATCATAGACCGTCTAATTAGATGTAGAAAAGCTCCGGGAATGCGACGCCACAAGCTTCGAGACGATGCGAGCAATGGTAACCGAGATATCGCGGTTCATGTGGGGGGAACCCCAATTTTTTTTTACGGGACGACAGAAGAATTCTGGAGTCCACCCCAAGAACGTCGACATTTTGCCTCCAAGTAAGCTCTAGGAAAATCGTAGACCGTCTAATTAGACGATCCTTCCTTTCAGGTTGACTTCGCGAACCGAAAAGTGGGCGGAGGGGTATTACGCGACGGTTGCGTTCAAGAGGAGATCTTGTTCGTGTTGTATCCTGAGCTCATATGTGCGAGACTTTTCACCGAGGCACTAGAGGATGACGAAGCATTGCTCGTTACCGGCGTAGAACGTTTTAATCAACACGAAGGTTTGTACCCCGGTCGAGACCATCGCAGGGGCCGATCTCAACTCCAGGCGAGAACGCGAATAAGTGGAGGCCTCCTCCCTCGATCTCAGGCTTCAGTGATGAATTCCGATGGGCCGGAAACGTCTCAGATTTCGCAGAGCGCGATCCTTGGGACCGGAAGTACACGCAGATCGTCGCCATAGACGCACTCGAACATCGGGGGAAACGGGAACAGCGAGAGCAGTTTGCCGTGGACAAAGTTCTTCGAGAATTGGTCAAGGTGAACATTCTATGAAGAAATACGGAACGGGGAAGAGCATACAGGCAAGGAACAAGTTCTCGACCGACTGAATTCTTGCAGGCGTTTTGCGGCTTCCAAACCCCGGGCTTCCCTAGATCGTGTCTGGCGACCGGCAATTGGGGGTGCGGGGCTTTTGGCGGGGACGCCCGTCTGAAGTTTCTTATCCAGTGGATGGCGGCTTCAAGGGCGGGTCGCCAGTTGACTTATTTCACGTTCGGGAACCACGCGCTCATGTGTGAGCTCCGAGCGTTGCAGACCCTCATCAGTGAACAGAACATCTCAGTTGGTAAGTGGATCCTTTATCAGAAAAATCATTTTCATCATTGTCACAAAGTGTAGGACCCGGTAATGAAAAACGAGGCTTCTCTGCGAGTAGTCGAAAATATCGGAAAAAAACCGGTGCTGCTTTTGATAAATCTGTGTTGACGAGCTTGTCGGCGCTTCTGATAAATGATAAACACATTTAAATCGTCTTTTTGAGTTTCTCCCGAATCGATCGAATCTGAGCCTAAGAAAGGAGGGAAAAACGAGCAACAACTTGTAGCTAGGAAATCTTGAGTCGGAAAGGCTCTGGCGGACTCGGGAGATGGTTTCTGGACGTCATCTTTCGTCACCTCGCACAGGAGGTCGACATGACTTGTTTAGACTGCTGGGCATCCCCGAAGCGGAGGGTCTCCGGACTTCTACCGCTGCGTTCGGAGTTCGCTGCCGACTTCTATGACTTGAGATTTAAGCTCGTGCTCGAAGCCACCATTTTCTTCATCGATATTAATCCTCTAACACAAAGCTCGTGTCTGTGTCTGTGTCAATGCGAGCGATCAGCCACCTATGTTGAGCGAGAGACTTAGCCGGCGGATCGATCCAGTGAATTTAAAAAAAGTTGACACCATTGAAGGCATGCCAATTCGGGCCCGGAAACGCTTGAAAACACAGTTCGAAGCTATAATGCCGACACTGAGCACCGATACGGAATGGGCGAGCTCGATCGACAGTTTAGTCGATTTTCCACAAGGGCATGACGTAATCTGCAACGCCGTTTTCTAATGGTAATTTTCTCCCCACAGGAGACGTTTTCCTGCTTCTGAAGCGCTATGATCGATTGTACATATCAAACGAAACCCGAGGTCAGCTTTCATTGAGCGAGTACTTGTTCCAAAACTTCAGCTCCCAAGATTCAGAGTGAAGTCGTGTGGAGGATGCGGTTCAAGTTCGGAAGTTTAGTTCATAGTCTCGAAATAAAACTCGTTGGACGCGTCGCTTGTGTCACCACTTTCTTCAGATATACTCACTCGAACGAGACGTCATCTATCCAGTCCTAGACTCGCTCGGGGATTTCTTGTCTCTCCAGCACGTAGCTTTGTATTCCTTTTTTTGGGAATCGTTCGAGCAACCTCTTCCCTCTTGAGGGCACTTCTCGAGGCTACATTCAGCTGACACTATGTATGTGAGAAGCACGATTCTATAGTCAGATAAAGATAATTTATTCCTTGCTTCAATGGCGCCTCGTGCTCGAAGGCCGAGAAGCGGGGCCGCCCCCGGCGCCTGCAGGGCGATCGACTGACTTTGCTTTCAGTCTGCGGTGGTCTACAGTGGCTTCCCTGAAACGAGAAGAATAGAAGATAGATCTCCGCTGGCTGGTACTCTGTCCTGCGCAACCGCACAACCGTTCAATGGTGGGCGTCCGTGTGTCTGACCATGAAGCCAGCGAGTTTCAATTTTCCCGAACAGAGAACTTCCGTAGAAACGCACACGAAATAGGAGCAATGCATAGAAACCTCTCTTCCGGATAGGATATACCATTCTCATGTTTTCCTCCAGCATGCACAAATGTTTGCGCCCACAATCGAGGGGGCTCTCCGTGCGGAGTGCTACCAGACGATGGGTACATGACATATGGGCTCTGGCCTCATTGTTGACGACGCCCAAGTAAGTCATCGTTCGGTGGGCAGTAGACTCGTAAACAAGCAGGTAACGTCATCAAATGTAAAATTGGCCCAGAAAGACTTCAACGAATTGTGACGCTAGGCAGACACTATATGATGTCATCGAGTCTCTCGCGCTCGAATGGACCGAGAAGCTGAGCGTGGAGGTGCGAAGATTTCGGAAGCCCCGCGAAGAAGTCGCAGCCTCGTGAACCTTTGTCTCACACCCGGCCCATAGACACATCCCACACCCCTTTTTTCGGAAGGGAAACTCACCTGAGGTTTGACGTGTGACTGTGTACAGGACTCGAAGATAAACTCTCACGTAATACTTTTTCTTTTGACTAACTCTATTGGAGGTGAATACTATCGCTTGGTGCCTCGCGGTGAACTCGATCTGCCCCACTTCGGTTGAATTTGTAGCGCGCGTAGGAAATAATCCTCTGTTGATAGAGCAAATGATCATATTGTAAGCGGAGAAAAATTGTCACATAGAGGAAACTCTCTTTTCTACCACGTCAATCCGCTAGAAGGGCACATAACGATGCTTGGATTGTTTCGGGATCGAGTGAATTCCCAAAGGGGGACTACGCAACGGAACTCGACTAATATCGACGTTCATCTCAGGAGGATCAGAGACAACGCATATTGAAGGGTGTTAATTGTGTTAAGGGGTCATACCTCGCCACGACATACCGGTGTCGGTGCCCGGCGCAAGCTTTACCAGTTTACTACCGCATCTGGGACCATGGTAGTCTTCGGGGCATATGCACGACGGTTCCTTGATCGACTCCATGTAAATGCAGGTCGCACCGTTCAAACAATAGAGATCCGTGGGACAATCACTGCCCAAACTCTCCGGAGGCACTCGCGCAGCGGGACCTAGGGTGGAAATCAATCGATTGACGGTAATCGTTCCCGATCTGAAAATCGAGCATGACCCCCCGCGCTCCTTCTTTCTCATTGACAACGCCATGGAGAAGAACATCCATTTCATCCACTCATGCTACCCCTTCTCCCCTTTCCGAGGCTGAAGGAGAAGGGACTGGCGAATTACCTGTGGACGCTTTGTTGAACCAAGGCGAATGTCTCTCGAACACAATCTCCTTGACAAAAACTTCAATCTTATCACTGACTGCAGTCTGCGAGACGACGTTGGAAGCCCAGCATCGATATTCCCCAGCATCCGCCGCACCGACGGAGCTGACGTCTAGCCGAGAACGACGTCTCTTATTCCGTATCACGATACGACTGCAAGGGAAGACGATTCAAAATTTAATATTCAAGGGAGGTGTGAACCGGATTCAACATCGAGCGAAGCCCGATCCGCTGAGGTTATTTTTGAGCCGGGGCTAAAAAAAAACCAGTTCTGAAAAACCCGATGGCCCCGTGTCCCCGCGCCCAGGCAGAGCATTTTTGAAATTCGCGCTTATGCCCCAGCTCCCGGAACGCGTTCATTCGTGGAGGCGATCGTCTGCTTCGATCGTATTATTGCAAGAAGAGCAGAACTCCAACACTCACTATCCCCCTCTTTCTCTGCTGCCACACGGCACACGCGAGCAGACAGGAGCAGCCAGCTGGCCGGCGTTGATCCTCAAGTGTGACAGGAACCGAAAGTTCGATATGGGTGAATTTCTAGAGCTGGGTCGGAGTTTTCTGGCGCAAGCCGCTGAAAACGCATCGGATACGGAGAAAGTGAAGTACCAGGCGACGACAGCCGGTCTCGTCACAGCCTACTGCAGCATCCTCATCATGTCTGTGATACCGATCATCTTCGGAAGTTTCAGTTCGGCCCAACAGCAGAAAAATCAGAAAGCCAATGGAGAACAAACCGAAACGATGTCGACGAAGGACGCGATGATGTTTCCGCTGATCGCGTCGTGTGCTCTTTTCGGTTTATACGTGGTTTTTAAGATTTTCGGCAAGGAACACGTCAATATGTTGCTCACGCTTTACTTCTTCCTGATCGGAGTCCTCGCCCTGGCCGCGACGATCAGCCCAGTTCTGCGGAAAATCGTTCCCCAAGACCTCATCAAGAACGACGAGTACCACACGTCAATGAGGCGGACGACGGCGAACAGCATGATTTTCGATTTGAAGTTCGATCATTACGACATTCTCGGAATCGGGATCGCAGCCGTCTTCGGCGGCTGGTATCTCGTGAAGAAGCATTGGATCGCCAATAATTTGTTCGGACTCGCCTTCGCTCATAACGGTATCACGTTATTGCATCTGAACTCCGTAGCCACCGGATGCATCCTCCTTGGCGGGCTTTTCGTCTATGACGTGTTCTGGGTGTTCGGGACCGACGTCATGGTGACTGTTGCGAAGAGTTTCGAGGCCCCCATCAAACTTGTCTTCCCTCAGGACTTCCTCGAGAACGGCGTCTGGGGCAAGCACTTCGCCATGCTCGGATTGGGCGATATTGTCATCCCAGGAATTTTCATCGCCCTGTTGCTCCGTTACGATCTCAGCAAAGGAACCGACTCTAAGCTTTACTTCAGCCTCTCGTTTGCCGCTTACGTTCTCGGCCTGATTCTGACGGTGATTGTAATGACGGTGTTCAAGCACGCCCAGCCCGCGCTTCTGTATCTTGTACCCCTCTGCGTCGGCGTTCCGCTGTTCGTTGCTCTGGTCAAGGGTGAAATCAAACCGTTGTTCTTGTACCGAGATACCCCAGATGAGGGCGACGATGAAGAACAAGAACACGCGAAGGCAAGCTCAGCGAAGAAAGTCGACGGTGACAAGAAGGAGGGCGTCGCAACGCGGTCGAGAGCGAAGAAAGACTGATTTGAAGTCTGCGATCAATTGTTCCCGACGAGTTTTCACTGTACATACGCATTCGGAGTCAAGTCAGTCTCCTCCGGAGGGATGGTCGAAGACTTGATTGGTGACGGTTACGTGGCTCAAGTCGAAAGTCCACTGATAGCCGTCATTTTGGAAATGTTTCAAATTATTCGAATTTGGTCAAAGCCGGGGAGAACATTCCGGAGAAACGCTGCCTCACTTAGTCCCAATGCAAAGAGCTTCAACGATCAATTTATCGAAGGGTCCAACAACGATATAGGCGGTCGTCGGGCATGTCTCCAATTTTTCATTAGTTTCTCCGGCGTACTCGTGAGTCATTGAGTGCGCCAAATCCTGCTATCAGTAGACTTCGCGGTACGAGTTGAATGATGATTGGCTTAGTTTCTTCGAGTTTAGATGTTGATACGTAAATAAAGTATGATGCTGGCATATGCGCGCCACCTTTGTCGAGTATCTCGCGACCTCTTCCATTGAACATCCGCCCCCGCTGATCCCGGAGCTCTGAGGATCGCCCGTTCTATACTTGGGAAAACCTCACCCATAGAGCGTTACCCTCGCAAGTTCACTGACAGTAGGTTCACATTCGGCGATTCAATCTTTAGTCTCACCGGTTATCGTTTTTGAGAGGTTGACCGTCTTTCGTCCAATATACCCACGGTATGGGATTCCCGCGTATTGTGCACCTCAAACGGAGCCGTTGGAGCGGTCTCACTGTCATCCTTATCCGACGAGCCTTGACTGAAGCGGGCTTGAGAACTGAAAAGAAGCGAGAAAAAAGTTCAGGCAAACAGGAATCTAGTGTGAAACTGTTCAACCAGGGAAAGCAGTGTGACCGTTAACTCTAAGAATCGATGTTGACCCATCTAGGTCCCGCAGCGGCGAGTAGTAGAAGATCGGCTTCCGATTTCCTTTATGAGACCTAGAATCGACGGGGGAACGGAATAATTCGGATATCTCGGGAGCTCTATAGGAACGTCGATTGAATCTCGGGGAATTTTTGGATGTCCGTGACTTAGCCCCCACCGCCCTCTCTATTCTTCCAGGTTACAGCGGAAATTCTGCACCTGTTGGCTAAAAATCACCGCTACCACGGGCTGGACAATTCCGATACAATATCTGACCATGATTCGGAGCTTAACGCCTTCGAACACACGTGGCTCTTTTAGCACGCTTTCACAGTCGATTCATTCAACCGACCCTTTCTAGTCAGTCGAGATTGTTGGTTTACGGAGTTTCTTGGCAGAGTCGATACACCCAGCATGCTTCAGCGAACGCGAGCGGAAGGAAGCTTTGCCCAGGCCCTTGTTCAGGAAAAGAGGTGCTTGACACCCGCTGCGCTGCTGAGAATGCTTCAAGTCCGAGAAGCCTCTGGTGTTGAGCATTCTCAACCACGTGGAGAGCACGCTTCCCTGATAGTGACTCGCACTTCCCTTGTCAAGATAATTGCCTTCCCCCCGGAAGTCAGGGGAAGAAAATTACTTCGAGTCAGTTTCAGTCATAATTTCTGGTTTAATTAGTTTTTACCATTGCGTTCCCAATCGAAAAGACGAACTTGCATGCGGAAATTCGTTTGACCTTATTTGCTCTTCGCCATATTCATAGAGGAATGAAGTAAGTATTTATTGCTCGTGCCCCGGGACAACGCGAAATTCCTGGAAGAATGCCCCATCTATCCACGACAGCTGTCGCAAGAACTCTTCGCGACAGACACAGCTGCCGACAACTGGTTGTGCAGCGAACATTTTCCCCAAAAGTCATGAGCCGTCTACGTGCTTTTCTAGTTCAACAGCGGCAGCATCACAAGCTCGAAGGATGGCTGGTTGGTGTGTTGACTTGCTGGTTGACTGCATGGCCCGACGTGGCCATTTTGCCGCCACCACCGCCCGCTCGATCTAATAAACTATACAGAGCTGATCAGAGGAGCCGCTGTCGGTCCGAGACCCAACAGGGCGGATTGCCGGCGAAGAGCGGTGGATCAAACGCTTGCCAACAGCATGAGGATGATGGAGATAATGTGGTTCGCCAGAAACAACAATCATGCCAGCTCGCTAGGTTCCTCTAACTTGTGATGACCGCGACGATACCTTTGTTAGACCAGCCGACCGTCCGAGCTTCCGTCTTCCCTCGTTCCTCCAGCACTCACAGGGGAAAATTGGAGGCACGAAAGGATGGCGAGCGTGCGAAACGAACGAAATTTCGGCCGAGCCTTGCAAATATTGGGAAGATTCGAACTCTTCCCCGGGGAACATTCACGATAACTCTAATGGATTTTTCGACGCCGACATGGGCTCTCGATGTAAAATCACCCAGCCTGGCATGTTTCCGGAATGAATTTCACGAGTACCTACTCAAGCGACTCGTGAATGAGCTCGAGACTGTCGCCTGCAGCTCGTTTCCATCCGGTGTGCCGAGCAAGTCAAAATTTCAATGTCATGTAGCAGTGGGGAGCTTTCTCTGAATATATTTTTTTGAGCATCGGAATTGCATGAAGCAGCGGGGCGCTCCGTTGCACGAAGATCAGTGATGGCACGGACACACGAGCAGTTGTTGCTAGATAGAATTCTAAATAGCCGATTCAGCAAGTTGTGCGATCGGATACGGACCCCCCGTCACATCTGTCGCTCCCGCAGGACAAAATATTGCAAATCATCTCTGATGTTGAATCGACTTTTTCGAAAAACCCTCTTCGGATTCACACTTGCTTGTGATCAATCTCGAGTGGTAGCCGCATGTTACGAGTTGAGATCGTGGTCTAGAAATGGGGACTCAGCCTGAGCGGAGAACTCTGCGAACTGCGACAAGGACACGAAACCACGCGCTGCACGGATTCGTTACGATGTTTCGGTTTTGTGATGATTTCTTCATAAAATGTAACGTTCTTTGCTGGACTTTGAGCCGGTTACGATGATAACTTATTTATTTGTTGACGTTCGTCCCTGCGGCGTCTCTGTCTTTCATCGAGTATCCACACATTGTTTGTGTAATTTTTCCAGAGCTAGAGTTGTTCTTCGCTGACGGATGGCACCGACTATGCGCGGAGCGTTCGTTTAGCTGAGTTCCGAGCTTCCGTTAGGGCCACGAACGACATTTTTCTAGCCGACGACAAGTGAAAAACCCCAGAGAGTTTACTTATTCGTTGGTACGGCTCGCTACGCTTGATGATCAGCAACTCAGGCTACAACTTTCGAGGAGAGGACACGCTAGACAGAGTTTTTCTTTCAGACGCCAGGAGTCTCCCCGAGATGCCCATCCCTCAAAGGACCGGAGATGGCCGAATGGATCGACTACGATCGAGTTGACTGCAGGACGCGGGCAGAGCTCTACCACCAGAGCGGCATGTGCGACATGGGTCTCAGTCAAGCGAAGAGGGGTTCATGGAAGGAAAAATCAACGAGGACTTCGGCCGAGAAGCGCATCAATCGGAACTGATGGACGGCTGCTAAGCATAAATGGCATCAGGGGGGGCTAAATATCTCGCTCCCGTAGTCAATACCTAGAGTCTTATATGTATAATAGGTTCAGCAGCGTCCCTGGATCCAGCTTCCCCTAATGCGGATCTTCGAAGGGATGCAGATGGCTCCACAGACTCATCCCTTGCAGAGACCCTTATCGTTAGCTCTATTCCCGAGCTTTACTCCGCGCGAATCAGAGGGCGAAGATCCAGCACGACGAACAGGATCGAATATGAACAATAATAATGCCCTCGGTACCAACGATGATCACCGCCCGATAGCGATAATCAAGTTTTTCTCCGATGTTTGCGAAAGGCGTCGCTTCCGATGAGTCGTCCGCTTGTTGACCCTTCATCGAATTCACACATCCACGTGCAAAATATCGCTTTCGGTATTCGGGAATGAGGTGTCAATGAAGTCACATTGAGAGCAAGAGTTCCATGAAAAGCCCCTGACGTCGACCGTGACGTCGATTCCGCGTTTCTCTCCTCCGCAATCTAATTCGTCATTGCTGCATAAAACAAGGTGCCGAGTGATACGAAGGCGTTGGGCTATGGTCCACCGGGGCGAGCTCATATCTGCTCATCAATAGCTATCGGCGGGACTACTACTAGGCGGGACTACTACTAGGCGGGACTTCTGGCCGAATACGCGGGAGTTAACAAGCGAGATAGCGCGGGGAAAAGTATGCGCCGCGAACCCCATCACTCGTCAGAGTATCAGTAGCAGACGATAGGCTCGACAATCTCTCACGGAGGAATGCTTCGCTCACGGAGGGAATTACCTACTACAATTTACTACTCTCTTAGATCAGAAGCGTCTCCCCGCAATTAGCGAACGAGTGAGGGAGCTTGAAAAGCAGCTCTTTATAGCCTGGATAGTGGATGTCGGTCTTCTCTAAAATGGCAAACGGGCGCGGGTACGAATATCTCTACTGGTATTCACTGTGAACAGCTCGGAAACTTCACCGGAATTCTTTAGCCACCCCCTTCCCGCCCATCAGAAATCCGAGCCGAGGGAGAACTAGAGTCTCTGTCAGACAGGCTAGTACGAAGGGTATCTATGAGATACTATGTACCTGCACCTCAATCGAGTCTCATCTTCTCACAGAAAATAAAGAGAGAGACAAACATGTGCTAACAAACAACGGCTCACAACTGTTTCGCCCGATTCCGCTCTCATGGAAAGTAATTGAGCTGGGAACGAGTTTTCTAGACTCACATCTCGAAGGCGAACGTAAACATTTCCAGAGCTTCCCTCCGCTAGTTCGGCGAAGCATCCGACATTGGTGTCGACGGAGACTCTCGATAACGCAGTGCGATATGAGCGGGAAAATGTTTCGGGAAACTTGAACGAAACAAGTTTACGTTTGCTGTCCCACGGCTTGGCGGACGGAGCCTAATTTCCTCGTTGCTTAATGAAGGTCTTCTCTGATGGAGGCTTTATCTCGCATGGACAATCTGCTTATTACCGTGCGTAGTTCGAGCAGTAGAGACAAACCCCGCGCCTACTCAATGCACATTCATTCGGATAACCGACGGCGTATTAGAGCGGCGACGTCCTTTGTTTATCGGCGGCAGCCAGGTGGCATACAGTGACGTCTGGTTACGGTTCTCGGTCTATATGTACGACCAATCGTTACGAGCTGGGCGGCCTCGCTCAAGTACCGTGAGGTTTCCACAAAGACGCTCCTAAACCAGTGCTCGCCTCTTTTGTACTGTTGGGTCGGATTGGTCTGGATTAGATTAGATTACATTTCAGAATGACAACTCTCAGATCGAGTCGCTGCTCGGTCTCATTACGATTACCCCGGCGTCTGCGGTGCATCATGAGTAGGTACTTTGTGCCCCTCCCCGCGAAGATCTTGAGCAGATGATTCCCATTCATCGGATTTCCTGCCAATTTCGTCTCGTTCCTCGAAGCAAGAGAAAATTTCGAGCAACGTTTCCACTGGGAAAAGGGGAGACATTCACTTACCGCAGTCTTCGCACAAGGCTCTGTGAATGGTCCGGCCCGCTCTCCGACTAAATGGATCCGGAAGCGCTGTCGCGGTGAGATTTGCTCGGGGAAACATAGACGACAGAGCACTTGTCAACGGTCTCGCGTACACTAAATAACGACCGTTGGTCACGAGCAGTGTCTGTTCGTTCTCGAGCTCCATGCGACACGTGCCGTATGGTACGGGACGACGACTCGTCGTGGCCGTCGGATCGTCGTCCCGTATCAGAGCGACGACCACATCACTGTACTCCCTGAGTCTCCGAAGCGGCGGCCGCGGTTCGAAAACTCCTGTCATGTTGAGCACGCGGCCGGTGAGGCTTGTGGTAAATCCGTTCTTGAGCACTTTTTGAACTCTGAGTTTTATGAGGAGATTCCGCTCCTCATCCTGCCATTTGGCCAGAAGGCGTCCGTGGAAAGTGATCGGAGCGAGGAAAGCCTTGTTCGCGGGGTTCAGAAGTTTCTGCTCGTCGACCCCTGGGCAGTTGCTGAGTAAGCTAACGTCGCCTTGGCTCTGTTCAATGGTGAGCGCGAGTATTATTGCGTTCAGCAGGGCCCCGAGGCGCCTGGTCAACATGATTTTTCCGAAGATCACAACTCAGCTCGACGATCAACTTCACTGAAGAGGGCTCTTCAACCATTCGGCTGATTCGGAACACCTTCCATAACATCTGAGCACTTCGTACTCCGCGAGTGAACTTTTCCACCGGAGACGTTTTCCTACTGAGCGTGAGTGATCGGGGGATTCGGAAGAGCGACGGGCATAGGCAGCGACCGACGTGAGCCGCACGGAAAATCCGCCGATCACGGAGGATGCAGATGGGAACGGCGACGAGGGAGGATCGCAAAGTCTCTGTACGTGGGCCGATCCGCTCTCGATCGAGTGCAGCGATCGGAACCCGTCGCTGTCGGGAGAGCGGGGAGCACAACGAAGCGGAGCACTTGAGGACGCACGAGGCCGAACTAAAATCTGAGAGAGCTGCTCTACAGCATGAGGGCCCTTATCGTGGTCCCTCAGTGGTTTTGGAGATTTGGCCTGACTTGCTCTTTCGGCTCTAGTATGCCGGCTCACTGCCCCGGTCGGCTCTCATCGATGTGAGAGTCTTGCTTCCCTCTCCTCTGGTTCCCTGTAGCCTGCTGTGGCTGCGCGTTCTGTGCGCTTGCCGATGTGCTTCAGATTCGTGCGCTGCTGGTACTAGACGAGCATGAATTAGCGAGACATTTTCGTATCGAGCAGCCGAAGCAACCGTCTCGATGAGTTCTGCGGCTCCGAGTGGTCGTCCCGCGCTCCACTCGCGCGCGAACGCCATTGGTCGACGCTCCAGAACGTCCCGGTGCGTTTCTCGACGCTGCCGACTTATGTGAGAAACCTATTCTGACACATCGTGTATCGTCCCCGACCGACGCCGGGAGAACACCTCCAAATGGACGGTCGGAGTTCTGAGCGAGCTTCCGACGACTTTGGTTTCATGAGAATCATTGCGAAGCGGCTCTGCTTCCCCTCGCTCAAGGAGTCGTCGCAGCGCTTCCTCATAGTCGTCTTCGGTCGGTTCCTGAAAATCAACAAAATACTAGGTGGAAAAATGTGTGGGTGCTCAAAGAGCGAGGCACTGTTGTCAATAGTGATTTATTGGGCGTAGACCATCAGCGGTGGCAACGAGAGCGCCTTCCTGGAGAGCCACGAGCTGGGTGAACTAACCGATGGCTCGTCAATGCCTCCCTTCCGGAAATAACATTGAATCAGAATTATCGCCCTGAACGAAGAGCTAGGAGTGTCGTCAGGCGTCTCTCCACGATACTTAAATCGGATGACCCGAGCCAGCGATGCGGTGGATCCGAGACGGACGTACCTACCGAGCGACCCACATGGGTAATCAGGAACATTGTGAAAATTATGAGTGAATTTATTATCTCATTTTCTTTCGTGAAGCTAGTGGCACATGTTCTGCCCGTGGATCGAGTGCCGCGTGGAAAAGATAATAATTTATCTATCTAGACAGAGAAGTTCTTCAGGTACAGGTGTGAGGTTGTGGAGAAGAAATAATTATTCCCCTACATGGCAACGATCAGAGGACCGTGTCACGTTCAATGGAGGGAAATATTTCATAGAATCACAGTATAGAGTCATTTCTATTAGAATTTTTTTTATACATTCTCAGTGACTGAATTGTGGTATGTTACCCTATCATTCGAAGGATGGATCGCTCGATCAGATAATTTACAAGTCACGGTACTCATCGGGCTCATTATAATTTTTCGTCACATGTCTATACAAATCGGCGTCCGTAGGCATTTCGTCGACAGCTATCTATTTCGAAATCGTATAAACTAAAATGAATGGATTCGCATTGTATGTCTCCAGGCACGCTCGACACGACGCTTCTGCATGCTGGCTGCCGTCGTCGCCGCTCTTGGATACGAGACCCAATCATGGAAGAGACTCGGCGTCTCCGAGATTGAGATGATGATTCCGTATGAAGGCATGTGGCCATGAGTATTACGATACGGACGGGAGCTAGACAGTCGAATTCAATCTAAATTGGGAATGTACACATCAGGGTTGTTGAGCAACCAGTTACGGGTCAGTCGCTCTTGGCACCTTGGTTCGAATGCAGAATTCCAGAGTTCTCGAGGCCTCCTGTTCGACGACCTCGTCACTCTCGGAACCAGACTCCTGATGACTCACTTCTTCCGGCCCGAAAATTACTACAGTCCGCCATCGTCATAAGAGGGAATCCCGGGGCAGAAATTTCCAATCAGCGCACCCCCAAGGTCACTGAAGGTCAGGATAGGAACAACGATCCACCGTATGCCGCCTCGGCAGCGACAGTGGGACTCCTGTTCCGACCGTTCTGTTGACCGGGAGATACTCCATTGGAGTCGGAAATAACGGATTCGCTTATGGTCAAACGTGACATGTCTGTCTTCGGAGGATGACCGGGATAACCTGCGAAGAAGGGGCTCCATTGACTTCTGATCCAGGTTTGAGCGGAGCAGGACCAATTCACATCATTCGATCTGTCATTTGCCCCGTCTGTCGCCCTCACCTGCTTTCGAGCCTGGAACCGGCAGGCTATATTGTCGCATGAATGGCGATGGGGTCGCCGTACTGAGGGATGGCAGTGTGCCGTAACCGTTGAGGATCGGTGGCAAGGAGGACAGTGGACTCGTCCCGGTCGACCAAGATCCCATAGGCGGGAGCGTTCCGCCCATTGAAGTATTTATGCGTTCCTCTAAACGGTATTTGTTTAAATCGGCGAGCAACGAAGCGGGGACGTTTGGCGATGCGGGGGGACGTGGACTCGATCCACCGCTGGGGGGACCAACGTTCAACCACATGTGGCCTGTCTGTCCGTGCTGAGATGTTGGAGTAGTGGGGAAATCGAACACCGACGGAGCGTTCCCGCCCCGGATCGGACTGAGTGAAACCTCCTGCAGCGCAGAAGTCTGTCTCGAAATCTCTAGCTCTTGGATTTGCTTCACCAAGATCTGAATGTGTTGGATCAGCTCCCTGTTCTGTTGTGTCAGCAGCTGGTTCTGGCCCTGGAAATTCCGTGTTTGACGCCTTGAGAATTTTCCCGAGAATGAATGATAATCTTGTGGTCATCTTGTTCTTGGCGCATATCGGAGTGACCTCCCTCTGGAATTTCTTCGCCAGACTCCCTTTACTCACCATCGCTTCGATGCGGGCGGCGTTCTCCGCGGAAAGCTGTTCGCGAAGCAACTTGACTTGCGACATCGCCTGCTGGGCAGTCTGTGCTTGGTACTCCATCTGAGCTCGGAGGAGCTGCAGTTGGTGGATGTAACTTAACGAGGCGGAGGGCTCGATCTCGGGAGCTCCGAAGGGTGGGGGAGCCTCAGACACCTAAATGAAGGGAACACTCAATTTCCCGGTTTCGAGGAAAAGATCCGGCGACATGGCGTATGAGAGACGAGTACGGTTCAATATTCAATGATTCGAGCGTTTTTTTGCGGAAATTATAAAAGCAAATGGTCTCACCGAACTCACCGAAGGCGTCTGTGGCTGCTTGCTCTGCGAACTGATGATCGTCTGAGCAGAATCCTGAGGAGCGGCTTTCTTCTCCTCCTCTATGTCTTTCTCTAGCTTGTTCGAGTTCTCGTTTTCTTGGGAAAGACCTCTCTGCTGATTCAACTTATGGCAAACTTCAAAAGCTTGTCCGATCGTCCGGACGATCTCCGCAGCTTGACTCTGAAATGCAGAAGTAAACACACTCAGGAAAGTGGAGACACGGAATCGGACGGGCGGACAGAATTTTTTTTCGGGAGGCCAGGGAGGAGCCCCAGTTCCGGAGGGGGGCAGACGACCAAAATCATGCCGCCCTTCCCCAAAGTCCATGATACATGACAACATTTCTCGGGGAGGGGAGAAGCATGGCCCTTGTTTTGCGCAACCCCGGGCGCGTTCGCTCGCCGTACGTTCCGTATCAGAAATAATCAAACCCATCTATTCGAAGATGGATGACAGAGCGATCCGACAATAATTCACAGGAACAGGGAACGCCGCGGTCGGACCTATCCTTTTGGGACGGAGGCGTCTAAATAGCGCACGAAACGTGGAAAGTGGATGCACAGCTTTGACAACAGCTCATACCGTTGACAAAGTCATGGTCACGAACCTGAGGCTTTCTTGAGGGCAAGAACAACACTTCGGAACTGGCACTTTTCCTCAGCGGAGTTTCGACGTCTTCCTCGCTCGACCAAGACTCGATCGCAGTTTCTTTGACAGCGTGAATTTTGCCAACGTCGAACGTCAGATCGGCCGAGCTTGCCGAAGATTCCGTATCACTGTCAGAACCCGAAATGAACCTCGACTTCGGATGCTCTCGACACTTGCATTTTGCACTGGGTGTAGAAAATTTGCGGGATTTGCCCTCGGGTTCCCGGAAGGACAGCTGTTTCTTAGGCGCCCTTTCACTTCCCGCCGTGTTCCTGCGGAAACTCGACTGTCTCCCTCCAGTTTCCAACTGACTCGTCGAGACCGCATGCCGAAGAGCTGTGCGCAGGGGGCCACCGGGACTGTCTCGGTTGGTCGGGGGCACGGGGTCGGAGGAGGTTTTTTTCCTCCGCAATATAAAACGTCGCATCAGCGAATCCGTTATTGCCATTTTCACTTTGTTGTGATCACCTTTGAGAACTTTGAGCGCGGCATGACTGTTCCGGTCCCTCTGCTGAGGGTCCTGTTCGGCGTTCATCTGTCGGTGTGTTCTGTCGCTGCCGCCGCCGCCGCTGCCGTCGGCCAAAACGACGAGGGCCACCGGCAGCCGCTGCTGTCGTTTTCCCGCCGCCGCCGCCCTTCCGGATCGGTTGTCGCAATTGACCAGAGCACTTTTCGCGCACCGTGCGGCCGAGGCAAATCTCCGGACGAGAGGCGATCTCGACGATGTCTTACTTGGCACTGCGACGGAGCCCCTTCACTCGGGAACACTGGCTAGATTTACGGCTCGATCTTTTCACATTTCTCCGGCATCGCGAGAAAGGCGTGTTTCCCTGCTTGCCCGCAACACGCCGGTCTGCCTGCTTGCTCTCCTGCCATTCGACCGAACGACCGACCGACCGACGACCGATCGTCCGTGCGTCGTCTCAGTCAGTCAGCTGCTGGCTTAGCAGTAGCCGGTCGGCACTAGTAGTATTGCGCGACTGTGTTGCTTCTTCGGCGTTGTTCTACCTCAGTCAGTCAGTGAGATCGCTTCGCCTCAGTCAGTCTAACCGGAGAGTCGTCGAAGTAGCCGAGCACATTGTGCTAGTCGGAGGATGACATTTGCCTCGAAGGCCCTACGCTCGCCGCTTCGACCGCCGCAGCGGCACCAGCGGTAGAAGCAACTCGCGGCAAAGAGCGCAGCCACAGACTAGTGGCCGGCGCAACCACGGCCGGGCCTGTTTGCCGGCCGAACGACCGGCCGGCCGACGGCCAGTCAGTCAGTCATCCAGTCAGTCGGTCGGTCTTCCGGTCCTTCGGTTAGCTCATGGCAATCGTCGCTAAAAATAGCGGGAAGAGTCTCGCACACCCGCCACGCCAACAACGACGGGACAACCGCGACACCGCCGCCGACAACAACGACGTGTTCTTCGTCGTCGCTGCTGCCGCCGCCGCACAATTGACCACCAAAGAAAGAATTAAAAACTAAGAACACGCCGATACCGAGCTAGCTAGCTAGGCAGCTCGCCACCGTCCGGCCAACCACAACCAGTGAGCTTTTCGCTCGCTCAGCTCTCCGCGGACCAGTGAAGAGAGACTGCATGTTTGTCCTACCCGCTTCATTTGTGAGCGTCAGCTGCGCTACGAGACCCGATCGTCATCGAGCAGGCGAACAGACTCGGATTGGGACCCGATTCTCAGAGGGAACGCGGAGCATGCGCGTCAGGAACGGGAAAAATTTATTCCTCACTGAATCTTGTCGCATGACAACAGCTCCGAGCCTCCGGTGCACGACCACAAGCATCCAGCTCATTGACGTTCGGTCGATTTTTTTTTTCCATTTTTAGCGTCCTCGGAAACTCGCCGTTCAAGGCGCCGGTTCAGCCGCTGTACGTCAGAGTGCGGCTCGACGGCCCGCGTGCGGAAGGCCGGTCGATGAGAACGCTTCTCAATCGAGTATTAAACCCATGAAGCCGCAGATTTGTGCAGTAGAGTCGAGAGCCAACTCGTAAACGCCTCCTCGCGCGGCCAGCGAGCACCTCTAGCAGTCTGTAAGTGATGTGTCATCAATCTCATTTTATATCAAACAAGCAATCCATTTCATTCGCGAAGATCAGCACTCTGAATTCGCGCGGTGACCGGCCGAGCACCTCATTCGCCTGACACCTGCGCTTCAGCTTCCGATTCTGGAGCCGGAGACCTCGAGGTACCGCGTGGCAGCCGCATTCTCCGATTCGGTGTCCAGGACAAGACGCGGGAAGCGATGCGTCGCGAAATTTCGAGCGGCTTTCCGGATGGGTGTCGGATCGCCCTAGACAAAGGGCCTGATTCTGTCACGTCCTGAGTTCAACGACTCCGTGACGGAAAAGGATGCAACCATCCTCGACGAGCCCAGCGAACGTCACAACGGGTGATGAACGAGACAGCCTTGCAGGTTTCGGTGGTCACGTGCCGGGCAACCAGGTGACTGCCATGGGCGTGATATCTCGCGCGATTCCTCCGACCGCAGCCGGATCGGCGAATGTCCGAGACGACGGAGGAGCCCGCGGGATGATGAGCGTGGCTCGATCGCAGGGTTTCTCCGGGTTCCCGGTTCGAGAGATTCTGAGACTTCCTTCCGTTCGATATTCCGAAGCGACCTCCGTCTGGTCGTTCTATTTTCGGATGTGACTCAGTGATGACGGAAAAACCTTGTGATAAAAGATAACAGTGTGCTCTTGAAACCGGTACAGCCAGACTCTCGGTCGACGAGACTGACTGACGGACGAGCAAACCGATTCATCGACGTCATAAATTAGAGCACGAGAATCGGAACTTCCGAGAGCAAGGTCGCTTCCTCGTGAAACAGCGGAACTACGTGCCACTTTGCAGAGATGTGGGCTACGAGCGAATGGTTCACTCATAACGAACACTCCGAGCAAACGTACAAACAATCAGAGCTCACGTTTCGAGCAAGCATGCTTTCCGACGAGGATGCGATTGACGTCACGCCAGCTCCGTGAGAGCAATGAAGCCGCTTGTGAACTTATCGCAGACAAACTTCCCGTTTCGCTGCTCTACCTGAAGACTTTCCGTCGTGAATCGCTGAACGACCTGGAGCCCCCGCGGAAGAAGCTGATCAGTCTTCAGCGAGAACTTCGGATTTGCGAGACATACACTCACCTTCTTGCTGGACTTGAACACATTACACTTGAAAACGGACGTTCCTCCCTCTCTTGAAATGAACGAGAAAATCTTGAGATCTTGGGAATCGTGTGAAACGTAGAATATCCGATAGATCGGATGATTTAAGACGAGATTGGCGTTCTCATCCCACTCCCAGAAGTCTTTCTGAAAAATCGGAGAAGCATGTTTTCAATCTAGAGGATCCTCGGAGTCTATCGGAGAGCGAACACTTAGATGCGTCTACTCGTATGTTTCTCCCACTATGATTACCTGACTATTCCTGTTCCGCCGCGCAACAACCTTGATTCCATCTACTGATACCGTTAGAGTGACTTTTTTCTTTTTCGACGCCCGGGATTTGAACTCATACTGGAAGAAAGGAGCGCTCATTACGACCGATATCTTGGGCTCACAGTTGAATTCACAAAGAGGAACTCATGTCAAATCGACAGTGAACGCTTCTCACCCGGATTCGTCGCATTGCTGCAACAATCTCGACTCGACTCGTCGGTCGCGGAACATCCAGACTGCCGATGTACTGTGAATCCAGACCGGACAATTAGAACCTCTTGTTTATTACCGTACTCTATATCATCCGACAAACAATGAAGACAGGATCGATGAAGAATACTTTTGGAAGTCATCGTACTCACTTTGACGCTGAAAGGAATGCCATGCTGGAACAAATCATCCGAATGCAGGGGAATACGGGTGTCGAAAACTTCATCAGCAACGAGATTGTATTGTCTTCTGGAGGGCATCACGACCAGCGGCCCCTACGAACCAGCTCTCCACCATTGCTACTCCAGCGCATCCGACCGCCACCCCCGACAAACCTTTGAGAGATCAATAATAATTAGCCCCTCGTTGATTATAAATCTTCCATTCTCTTCTGCTCCTCAGATCTGGAGCTATGGATACCTCGTCAATGTCGGAGGAACCATGGGATCTCCCCGGGAAAACGTGAGAAGCTCGACAGCTCATCATCCCGAGGATCGTCCAGGGACGAAGACGACTCGCGACGTCGGCATGTGGATGATCATAGCTCCAAAATGTAGCACGAATTTCACGCGAATATCTTTTTTTTTCGAGAGACTGGTCGATTTACGAACGAGTCACAGAATATTTCCTCCCTTCGCGCTCTAGCACAGCCAGCTTGTCGGCTGTTAATCTAGCGACGCAGCTAGTCGCACGCTAATTAGAGGATTCTTCTCGAAGCTATCAGTATCCTTGTTGACATTTGTTTCTTGTTTTCCAGCGCGACTTTCCGAGCCTCACTCGATGATCTTCAGCGCTGGGCCAAATCATCGGCTATTGGAGGGCGCATTCCCCTTCCGAGCAGCATACGATTATTATCGGGCCATACGAGATTTTCCACGACAACTCAAAATATTGACAAAAAAAGCCTCGATGCGCCTTCAGGCGGAATGAACTCTGAACGCAAGTTTTGATTCGGCAAACAAAATTTTACGCTCGCTTTCGCGAAACGAACAAAGGTCCAGCGAGTGAGAGAAAATAGAAGCCAACAATGTCACCAAGTGGTTGCTGCAGCTACTGCTGGTGGTGCGACTGCCTAGAATCTCCCGAAGAACAAATGCCCCGACAAGCACACTTCGAATCTAGTTTGAGAATACTTTGCGCGTCTTCAATGGAGTTGGTCGGGGGAGATTTTCTTCGACAGCGCAGAAAACTAACGAACGCAGCTGTCGGCCGCTCTGAGCGGCACTACAGCAGTACAACGAACATTGAAGCGATCGATTCATGCTCCGTTGCTAGATGATCGGCTTCGAAGTACACAGACATAGGGTGTGGTGATGGTTGGTGGCGGTGTCGTTGCCGCAGTGGCTCGTTCTGTACAAATCCGTTATATGGATAAGTCGATAGACGAAGACACCTCTTTGACATGCTGTACAGCCGTTCGGCCGAAATCATTGAAGTTGGTGATGACAGCTCTCGCTGACATTCGATGCGTGAATATTGTCGACTTCGACAACGATCTTCTTGGCTCAGTTAAGAATATTTCGTCGCGAAGCTCGGTATGTCGATTCTCACCTCGGCGGAAGGTTCTGCTTCGGGAGTCACTTTGCGGTCGTGCACAAGTCCACGAGCTTCAAATTTGTAATCTCTTCGGGGAACACCGAGACTATATCGAGTCGCGTAACTTCGGTCGAAGTTACGCCCTCTCTACTGGCGCTTCAAACCGTGTACGGCGCCGAACTCTATCCAACGTATGCTCCTTCACCAGAACCTCAGAGAGTGTCAGAGGTTCAAACACATTTTCTTGCAGCGATCGCCACCTTTGGAGAGTCGATCTCCACGGTAACAATAGTCTCGCTCGTTGGTCCCCGGTTCTGGCTGAAGAGTACTCTAGGGTCGAAACTCCGCTCGCAGCGCCCTCTGGCGGAGCTCGGCGTAACGAGTAAATAATTCTAACTATCCGCTTCCTCTGATCCTGCTTGACTTCCATGCCACCATGGTCCAAATCGGGGAGAACGACCGATTCTAGAGAGTTTCGGCCTTGATGTATCCACTAGAGGCAATTCGATACTTGCCTGTTCCTTTTTAGGAAGCTCGGTGGTATCTAACCGTCGCAGTCGCCGGCAGGATAATATCCCCCGACATGATAGCTTCTCGTCGATGCCCGAATCTGGTATCTATCGGGGAACGTCGATTCGGGATTGGGATGATCTCGTTTCACTTCGATGACCTCCTGTCGGCTTGTCTGCGAGCCCGGTTCTTCGACGGAACCTCGTGGATCGGGAGTTCTGCATTTAGTGCCGAGTCCCAGTGGGTGTCCTGAACACGACGTTCGATTCGGACGAGCCGGAATATCTTGGGCCCGGTTGGACGCGGTGCGGCGGATCACTGTCAAGTATTCAACAAGACACTCACTCCCGGCTCCACGATGGGGATACTCGAGAAAATTGCGGAGATTGAGCGAGAAATCGGTCGTACTCAAAAAAATAAAGGTTAGTCCATGCTCAGTGGGAAAGAGGCCCTTCTTGGCTGAGGTTTTTTCCAATAGTCTCCCGACTGGATTCGTCAAGTCTGAAGATGGCCACTTTTTCTCAAACCGGAGCTTTCGTCTCTGGTGTCTCTGACAACTTCTTGAGACGTTGCATCGTTTCTAGCCGTTTCTACCGAGCTCACCGATCAGATCTGACTGACATGATGTTTTGCATCTTTCCACAGCCACGGAGTACCATCTCGGATTACTCAAAGCCAAGCTAGCAAAATATAGAACTCAACTCATAGAAGGAAATAAAACGAAGGGAGAAAAAGGTGAAGGCTTCGATGTTATGAAAAGTGGTGATGCCCGTGTGGCTCTCATAGGATTTCCTTCGGTCGGTGAGTACTGATCTCGATTATCCGTTTCGCTCGATCAACAAATCGGCGTGTCCCGATGACCCCGATCGAGTTTCCCCGATGAAACACCAGAGCAGAGAGGCTAAATTGCCGAAACGCTTATAATTCACCCCCAAGGTAAATCGACGTTGCTCACAACTATAACGGAGACAAAGAGCGAATGCGCGAGCTACGAATTCACAACTCTGACTTGCATCCCCGGTGTCATAAGATACAACGATGCCGAAATCCAGCTGCTCGATCTTCCTGGTATAATCGAGGGCGCCTCGCAAGGCAAAGGTAGAGGACGCCAAGTTATCGCTGTAGCCCGAACAGCTGATCTAGTGATTATCATGCTCGACGCCACAAAAGCCGAAGTACACAGACAACTTCTCGAAGCTGAGCTTGAAGCTGTCGGCATCAGATTGAACAGAAGGAAGCCGAACATCTATTTCAAGGTAAGCTCCATCGCGAATCGGTTTTCTGCGATAAGAGGAAGAAAACTCCCCAGCCCGATTCCTAGCCCTCTCTAACGATCGGAGCCCCAATCCTCCTCCTCCTCGGTGCCCCTTACGGTCGAGGAGGACACGCCGCTTCGAATGACTCATCGCATCGATATTTCAGGAAAAGAAAGGAGGGGGTTTGTCGATCAACGCAACTTGCACACTGACAAAGTGTGACGAGAAAATGGTCCAGACGATTCTCCACGAATATAAAATTTTCAACGCCGAAGTCCTCTTCCGAGAAGACGCCACGGCCGACGACTTGATCGACGTCATCCAAGGCAATAGAGTTTATCTCCCCTGTTTGTACGTCTACAACAAGATCG